ATGGTAAAGCTGGAGCTACAAAAGGAAACATGTTTTAGTTAATTGGGTTGATATTACACAACTCAGAACTTCAGTATAGGCAGTGTGCCTGCTCCAGAGGTTAGACTGGCATTTCCTTTCTTCTTTTGAATTGAATTTATTTATTTATTGTGTGTGTCCCATGTTGAGGTCAGAGGACATCTTCTGAGAGTTGATCTTCTCCTTCTGCCATGTGGGTCCTGGGATGGGGTAGGGGGATTAAACTCCAGTCATCAGACTTGGCAGCAAGCACCCTGACTCACTGCGCCAGCCAGTAAGCCCAAGACTGTGGCATTTCTTACAGGATTAACTGGAAGATAGAGTAAGGGGCGTATTTCTGCAGGAACTCCAAAGAGGTTCATGAGCTAGGGGCAGTGAAGCATTAATGTCGTCAGACTCACCAACCCCAGAGGACCCTCCTGTCAACAAAAGGGGCTGTCTGAGATGGAGAAACCATGGCAGGACAATTTTGGCTTTCCTTAAAAAGTGACCCAGCTGTGGGGCTGGAGAGATGGCTCAGTGGTGAAGAGCGCTTGTTGTTCAAACATGAGGACCCAAGTTCGGATCCTAGCAGCCATGCGATACCTCCAGTTCTGAGGGATCTGATGATACACACAACTAACCCTTAAAGAAAACGAGTGTCCCAACCAGGGATGGATCCCCAGAGCTGTATAGATAGACGGTGTGCTAGTACACACCTGAGTCCCAGAATGTAGAAGGGTGAAGCGGGAAGATTGGAACTTCAAGGTCACCTTCAGTCATATTCCATGTTCATGAGATGAACGTCATGAGACGTTGTCAAAAAAAAAAAAAAAAAAAAAGAAAAAAAGAAAGAAAGAAAGAGAAAGAAGAGCTGGGGCAGTGGATGCTTTTAATCCCAGCACTTGGGAGGCAGAGGCAGGCGGATCTCTGTGAGTTTGAGGTCAGCCTGGGCTACAGAGTGAGTTCCAGGATAGATAGGGCTACATAATCAAGAGACCTCTCAAAAAACAAAACAAAACAAAGCAAAACAAAACAAAAAGACCTAGCTGTTCTGTGTAACTCAGAAGAGTATTTACCTATTTACCTGGCACCCCCAATGGTGCTGGATTCTATTTCCAATACACACACACACACACACACACACACACACACACACACACACACACACACACACACACCTTAACTTGGTATGGATGGATCTGGTTGACACTCCCAAGGATTCCTGTGGGCTATGTAATCTCAAACTCTGTGAACATTCAAGCTCCTACTAAGTGGATAAGGGAGTTTATGAGTTTATGCATTTACCCTTTGGGCTTATAGCTTTTTTTTCTTTCTTTCTTTCTTTTTTTTTATTGTTGAGGTTTTTTTTTTGACAGGATTTATCTGTGTAGCCCTGGCCCCTGGCTGTCCCAGAACTCACTCTGTAGACCAGCAGGCTGGCCTCAAACTCACAGAGATCCGACTGCCTCTGCCTCCCCATGGTAGCCTGGCTTTTCCTTCATTGCTTTTAGACTGGAGAATTAGAGACAACTGGGATTTTTCCTCACAAGGGTCTTGCGTGTAAGAGCTCATAATGTGCATCAATAGGGAGGCATCCTTGTACACAAGGCTGTACTGCCGGGTACAGTAATTGGCTTCTTCCTTCTCCACTGACCACCCCCCCAACATTAACACTGGCTAGCACCCCCCCCCCATGAGACTGGTTGAGAAAGAGGAAGCTACACCTGGGAAGAAGATTGCTTTGTACTTTATTTACAACAGAATGTAAGAAAAAGTAAGCTATCAACAATAATAAATAACGGGGGCGGGCGTAGACGACAGTGCAGCCACAGAGTGACACAGACTGGATTTGTGTCACGTCTGCTTGCTTTGCTTACAACACTGTGTGTTCCAACACTTGGTCCTTCAGTGGTGGCAGTGGTATTTGGAGTAAGTTAGCCAATCAAGATCTCAGCTCAGAAATGTAAACCCCAAAATTACACTGGAAAGGACACAACGTAAATGGCATACGGATAACATCAACTCAAAAGAACCTCCTCTTTCCTCGGGGGAGACACAGTGAAACCGAAAGGGAGATGTGAAATTCCAGACGTTTCAGCTTGAAAGACAAGAAGGTGAGGAGGCTTGCGGTAAGCATTTTTTCACTGCATGGAGTTAGTTAAGGGGCATTGTCCACACAATCCTCCACAAGTTCACATTCTCTTTCATGATGTCCTCCGAAGCTTGAGCAGTTAGATAGATAGCAGATACAAACAGTATGCTTTGAGGGTGGAACCCAGGAAACCCAAGACATCCTGCATCTGGGTAGGCTATGTGATTGTGAGACACTTGGGTCTCACCAAGGATGAAGTGCTTAGCATTTATTCATGTCAACTTACAGGCCAGGTTAGGATTTTTAGAGTTTTACAACTATGGCTCAGATGGCCAACTGTCATCTAGCTCACTAGTCAGGTGACCGGAAAAATATGAAGATGTATGGAAACCATTTAGACAGTTACTCTCCATTGCATTATTTGGTTATAGATGGAAAGGATAGTTGACTCTATGCCAGTGTTTTTCAAAAAGAAAATTCCTATCAATCTAAGCCAGCTGTCAACCTGGCATTTTGTCACCTCTGAGCAGTGAAGAGATACTAAAGGAAGTGAAATTTGAATTTCATTGAAATGGGTTTTTATCAAGATGTCTCTTAGTTTATAGTTTATTTCAGGCCATGAAAACAAACCACATGATCACTTTTAGGGGTATCATTGAGGGTTGTGTATTTTATTCTTAAAATTATATTTATTTATTTTTATTTATTTGTGTGTGTGTGTGTGTGTGTGTGTGTGTGTGTGTGTGTGTGTCACTGTATGTGTTGTAGGTTGAGGACAACTTATGAGAATTAGTTCTTTTTTCAAATAGGGGAGACCTGAGGATTGAACTCGGCTGTCAGGCTTGGTGGCAAGTACTTTGACCCTCTCAGCCATTTTGTCAGCCTTTGTGTGTGTGTGTGTGTGTGTGTGTTCATTATTTGTGTTGGTGTTCATTCATCCACAACTGAGCTGACTTATTCTCACACCCCAAAACACAACTGACATATACCTATAAATAAGTTAAAACAGCTCCCCATATCAGAGTTATAAACAAATCTACCAAGTGTCTCTCCTGCTCAGTTCTTCCCTTTGCTTTCTCTTACTACAGCCTGAGAAGAAACACTCGGCAGAGGTGGTCTCGGACAAGCTTTGTGCAATAAAACACCACAAAACCTCCTTGATCCAGGGAAAGCACAGATAAATCGACGATGCTATACCACACTTATAGCACAAGAATATTTCCTATTCGGAAGCCACCGTATGGCCATATTAGTAGCATCCACCAACATCAGAGACGAAGAAGAGTAAACACATGTATTATCCCATAGGTTACTTCCCTCAATTTTCCTACCAGGGACTTAGAACTGGTGGTGTGTGACTCACTATACTGCATTTGTATATTTATATATATATATATATATAAAATATGTACAGGTATAATACAATTTTGGTGAACAAAGTTGAAGGTTCTCACAAGGCAGACAGAGGCACTGAGTTAAGGATTCTATTTTCCCCTCAAACATGCTTGGTAAATTCAGGTTTCTGCTATATACTTGTTTGTCTTCCCCAGTTTCCACCATGCAGCCGTTTTGTTTCCATCCTCACAAGAATTATTCATGTACTATGTACACAGTCATTGCAGACTTGTTCCCCGCAATAGCAGATTCAGGTAAGGACAGAGCGAAAAGATACTTGGAAATCAAGATTTAGAAAATACTGAAGTCATTTATGCTTTGTGACGACTGGATTAAATACTCAAAGCAGCTACTGAACTATCCAGAACCCCTTCCCAATTTGTCACACAGGTGAACCACATGTAGGCAGGAAAATTGGACACACGAGTGTCGGTTAAGAATCACACTATCACTCGTCGGTTAGCACTGCAACTGAGCTGACTATAAAGCAAAGAAAACTCACACAAAAAGAAGGGAATCAGAAAGTAATTTTTGAAAGTGAACCGGATTGTTGACCTTGACAATAGAAGCTGGTATAGAGAAGGGGGAAGTGGCATGGTATTAATGAAAAAACTAGGTGCCAGATGGGCTAACCACCGCACAAAATCAATTTGGACTACATGAAAACCATAAGCCCGCCCCAGCCCGATTTCAGCTTGCAAATGGTAAGCAGTTACATATACTATCTCCGCATCTTCTGAAAGGGGGATTTTGCTTGTTAAAGGCAGACATTCTCATTGAGTACAGCACGGAGAGGGGATCACTGAGAAGTCCAAAGGGTTTGAGAAAGGATTAACATTTCCCACAAGCGAGATTCATGCTTCCATACCATGCAAAGGAGGGTACCCTACTGTGGTACTGTCACCTTAAGGAAAAGATACGCTGATGCACTGATGCACAAAGCCATTCGCAGTTGCGTTCCTTTGAGAATTGGGAGCAATGTCCATCTACAGATAAAGAAATGATCTAGACACACTCAAGGGGCCAGCACCTGTGCCTTGGGAGAGGTCATGGACAGGAGAGACACTGCGGAGTGTGGAGCACTCAACAGAGGGTGCAGGCAGGGTCCACTGGCTGGGGGGGGGGGTCAGGGAAGGAGAATACACTCCTTGGTCTGTTTTGTTTCCTTTGGGATCTGTGTTGGGGGTGATTTCCTTTCCTGAGGTTGGAAGTCACAGTCAGGAAGGACAGCTAGGACATGAGCTCTGGAGTTCCCCGGCTACCTGTTGTCACTGACATTCTGCTTGCCTTCCTTGTGGGTTTAAAGGCAGTGAGGTGCAACTGTGACAGATTTCTCTTTCTGCCACTTGATGAATGGCCTTGCCAGCTGTTGGCCTGGACTCTGCTGTACATTTCCCCATCTTTCAGCAACGAGGAGGAGACAAAGGGGGCATTTATGACCACATCTCTGTACAAATAGTCTGAGATTCTACTATTTGGCTGTATTTACATTGCCGATTACACTGTTCCCTTTTTGCAGTGTTGGGGACCGAACCCAGGACCTCTTGCATGCTAGGCAAGAACTCTACCATTGAGCTACACCACAGTCCCCAGTATTTGGATTGTAAGGAACAAGTAAGAGAATGACAGTGTGTTCTAAAACCTGGTAATTGGCAACCCATGGCAGGGACGTCTGGGTGTTGCTAAGAGTCCACCAGGTGGGGAGGGTTCTCGTTTGCAAGGTTCAGACATCAGACATTCTGACAGTGGTTAAGCCCAGGTAACTTAGTCCACCCTGACCTTCCTCAAGTGGGAGATTGTCAATGAATTTTATTTAGTTCATTGAAATTTTTGAAAATCGTAATGGATGAAGGAAGCTCACAGGTCAAGCTTCGTTGGTACCTGAAGAGATGTTTGTCTCACCAGAACATTCCACATTATACCAACTATGGTCACAGTCATCCGGGCAAGTCTAAAGATTTGAGAGGCCACCAGGGCACAAAAGGGGAAGTTTCTAAGTGATGGGAACAGATGGGATCTTTATTAAATTCTATGAAAAGGTATAAAGAAGTCACCGGTAATTGCACTTGGGGCCTCTAGAAGTTGGTCATTAAAATTCTCAAAAATTTAAGGAGTTGATTAGGCCCCAAATCCTGAGTCAGACTAATCAAAACAGGAATATTGGTAACAACAGAATTCAAGTATTGGTGGTCAGCAGTCCAAAATTTAACAATTAGGCATGTGACCCCTGAGAGACCATTTTCTTTTCTGTTTTTGTTGTCGTGTCGTTGAGAATTTCAGGTTTGGTTTGATGGGAGGAAACTGACTTCATTATTTTACTCCAAAAAAGAAAATAAAAGGCTTCATAGTTTTCATCTGTTCACATGTTTACCACAGAAGCCCACATCAGACTCGCCAAGGCCTCCCAAACAAGGCTTCCTTCCTGACCCATATACAAAGCTGTAGATGATCCTGTGGGTTTAAATTTGCTTTTGAGACAGGGTCTCATATAACCCAGGCTGGCCTCAAACTTTGTATATGGCTAAGGCTGACCCTGAACTTCTGATCCTCTTGTCTACCTAACCAGGCTGGGGATGGAACCTTGGGCTTTCGTGCAAGCTACATTAGCACACTCTACCCGCTAAGTTCCATCCTCAGCTCCTCCTGATTGGTTTTTTTTTTTTCCCTAGCCTTAAGTCTCATATTCACTATGATGCTGTACACGTAGGGGCTCTTGCTACCTGTGAAATTATTTAACCACATGCACACTCTGAGATCAAAGAACACATCTGAGTGACAGATGAGGCAGTCTTTTTCCTCTATCAGAGGATTCTTAAAAAAAAAAAAAAAAAAAAAAAAAAAAAAGCCTCAAATGAAAATACAAAACCCAATGGGATGTTCACATGAAGTTACTCTGATTTGGGCCGACATGGCTTTTCAGAAGAGTGGACACCAGGTAAATTCAGGGTGGTTTTTTTCTCGGGATCCGGAAGTGTGAGTGTCTCTGGGGCAGATTTTTTCCGGGGCCGGTCTTTGGGAATGGACAGAAATTCGGGCGCATCTGTGGAGAGAGGGGTGGACGGAGCGCTGGATGGGGCGCTGCGCACCGAGGAAGGCAGCAGGGCCATGCTGGAGATCGAAATGGCGGGTGGGAAAACGCCGATTTTCTTGTTGGTGGCTTCCTGAGTGGCTCGTTCGAATTCTCGCACTTCATCCATCGTCATGTCTTCAAAGGGAAAAGAGAGAGAAGCAGCAGCAGTTACCATTCGGACGGACGTGCAAATGGGTTCAGAGTTAAGTCTAGGGACTCTTATCTACAACGAAGGAGGCCCCTACCCATCACAAACCCAAATTGTCTTTGAAACATTAAATCCTCAATTTGATCCCCCCCCACCCGTCTCTGTTACTGAGACACATCCACGAAAAGAAGATTTCTGTTTTTGGCTATCAATTCAAGTTTTTCCAAAGGACTCTTCAATTAGTATTTAGAAGTTACTGAAATACGTTTTCTTTATTTGCTGTGTGAGCAGGGATGTGTGTGGTGGGGTGGATGGGTGCTGGTTGGAGGACATCTTTGAGGAGTCAGTTTTTACGCTATTGTTCCTGAGTTCACTGGTTTGAACTCAGGTTGGCGGACTTGGCAGTGGTAGCCACCTTTACTCAGTCAGCCATCCTGTGTGTGTGTGTGTGTGTGTGTGTGTGTGTGTGTGTGTGTGTGTGTGTGTGTGTGTACATGCACAAAAAAACCTCTGAGCACACAGAGAAGGCAGAAGACATTATTATCTCCTTCTATTCCTTTGATGCTGGGTCTTTCCCAGAAGCCAGGCTCACATTTTCTGCCCCCTTGATCCTCCTATTTCTACCTCCAGCCCCCTTGAGCTAGAGCTGCAGGTTTTGCGGGGTGTCTGGATTATTACCTGGATGCTTTGATCCCAATTTCAGTCCTCAGTATCACTCAGCACAAGAGCTCTTAATTGCTGAGCCAGCTGTCCAGCCACTTCAATTAGTATGTTAAGTATTCTGAATTAGGATTTAACAAGGGAGTGTAAAATCAGATCCAGTAAATGTGTGCAAGGTGTGTGTGTGTGTGCCTGTGTGCACATGGGCACCTGCAAGCACTTGGTGTGTGTGGCTGTTGTGGATACATGAGGCTTTTATTACACTGGGTTACACCTACCATACAAAGGTCATTAAGGCAATTTTTTGCACATATGATCTTCCAGAGGACCAGAGTTCAGTTCCCAGCACTGACACCAGATGGTTCACAACCACCTGTAACTAGTGTTGGAGGAGGGCACGTGGAGGTCAGAGGACAACTTCTGGGAGTTGGTTCTTGCCTTCCACCCTGTGGGTCCCAGGGATCAACTCATGTCACCTGGCTAGGTGGCAAGCACCTTTAGGCACTGAGACATCTTGTGGGCCCTTGTTATTGTTGTTAGGAATTACTGTCAGTCTGGCTATTCCTGGCATATTTTGGCGATTTTTCTCTTACTGGGAACAGAGAAAACGGGAATATCAAAAGAACCCTGATGTAGAGTGGAACCCATGACCTGTCTTTCTCTACTTTGGCTCACATAGGTCTATGTTTCATTCTTTCTGGTCCTCGATGGTTCGGACTTCTGAAATGATAGTGCACATCTCAGCAACACACCTTAGAAATGCTGAATGTGGAATGGATAGTAACAACACAAAGTTCATCATCCCAGATGTCCTTGGTGTTGCTGGGGATCAAACTCAGGGCCTGGGGTATGCAGGGCAGAAGCTACATTCCTCAGCTCCACTACTGGGTTTTATAATATCAAAACAATAAACATTTTTCTTTTCTTTCTTTTTTTTAGTTTTTAGAGGCAGAGTTTTTCTGTGTAGCCCCAGCAGTACTGGAACTTGACTTGTAAACCATGTTTGTCTCAAACTCAGAGATCCACCGGCCTCTGCCTACCAGTTGCTGGGATTAAAGGCGTGTGACACCATGCCTGGCTCAAAAATCATTTTCCATGAAATGAAATCTGTAATGATTTGATTTCCTTATGAAATTATTAAAATTTCCTGAAGGGGAAATTTGTTTTGTTTTGTTTTTTTACAAAGGAGATTAAAAACTTGCAGCTGAGTTGACATAATGCAAAATTTATATTATTTTAAGAAAAAGTATACCTATGAACTTACCACTTTTAAATGAATAAATGATATTAAGTTCTGTAAAAGAAGCATTTACTTGGAAATGAAATTGGAACTTCATAAAAAATTTTAGTGAGCCAGGATATGTCTTTACACTAATACATGGATAGCAATTTCGAAAAATTACTTGGTTAACAAGTGGCCCAAGACATTGCGATACTGAATGTACCCAGCAGGGGGCAGAAACGACACAGAGTACAGAATTTAGATTTTTTTTTTTTTTAAGTCAGTATCTTCCTTGGAGGGTTTGAAATCTTTCAATTGTCAATGAGACTTTTTTTTTTTTTAATTGCTATGCTCATGGATGCTAATTTTGCTTACTCCCAACTTAACTTATTTATATTTCATGTTAGCAGCCATGAAGGTTGTTATTTTTCATTTTTAGATAAGGCCCTTGGGTAGCTCAGGCTGTCCTCTGACTCACTCTGTTGCTGAGGATGACTTTGGATTCTGATCCTCCTGCCTCCCCCTCCCCAGTGCTGGGATCACAGGTGTGTGATTCCAGCCTTGGTTTATGTGGTGCCCAGGGCTTTGTACATGACTGGCACTCTGCCCACGTGTGGTTTTAGTACTATTTATACATTTTTAAAAATTTTTATTTTTAAGCTTTAGTGTGTGTGTGTGTGTGTGTGTGTGTGTGAGAGAGAGAGAGAGAGAGAGAGAAATAGTATGCATGCGTGTGTGCGCATGTGTGCATGCACGTGCGTGCATGAAGGTCAAAAGGCAACTTTGTGGAGCCAATTTTATTCTCTTTCCACAGCTGCATGAGTTCTGGCAACCAAGCTCAGGTCACTAGGCTTGTGTGGCAATGGCCTTTCCCTGCTGAGTCACCTTGCTGGCCCGTCCGTGCAGTTTTTACACAGCCTCTCAACTTGAAGCATCTTTTCATTATGATAGAAAAGTAAGACAGTGAAAAATAAATGGCCCCTGATTTCACAAAATTCCAAAGAAAGGGGGCAATGTCACAAGACAACCAGTATGCTGAAATCATGGCAACAGTGGGTGGTTTGCAGCCAGAGGCTATGGGGGACTTTCTGGAAGACAGGGGCCACTCTGGATTCTCACCTTCTACACAGTAAGCTGACTTAATGTCAACAACGAATTCAAACAGAAAGAATGCATGCGAAGGCCTCAAGCTGTAACCTTCCCCCTCCCCCATCCTGAGAGAGGGTCTGGAATTGCAGCTCAGGCTGGCCTCCCACTCAAGGCAATCCTCCTGCCTCAGTTCAGCCACCATGCCTGGCTTAGACCCTGGAAACAGATGTACTCAGCGCCCTTCAGCCATCCCTTTTCCTTCCTCCCCCTGTAGCTTTCTTTGTCTGGTCCTGTTTATAGTGAGCAACTTTCAGAGCTGTTGATGGGCACTGTGTTTGACATTCCTAAGAGAAAAGGTAATCAAAAGTAACGGAAAATTCAGGAACAGTTTCCTTAAAGAACATTCCTATCTTTAGAGCAGGAAAAGAGGAGGGGCGGGAGCTATCTGATCAAAATCGGAGCAAACCTTCAGCCAATGCTGTCCCCAACATTTTCCTGCAAAACCTGATCAGAGCATGCAAGGCAGAGCTGGACCACTCTCAGGCTCACGGGCAGCCACATGCATCTGATGCCGTGCACTAGCCTAGCAAGGCACAGTTCAAGGACATGCTCTCAACATTTCCAAAATGTTACCAGAAAGTCTTTGAAATTTCTAAAGCCTTTGTCACAACAGCCACCTCTTAAGTTCTGTAATTATATTCTCGTTTTTTCTTTTTAAAGATTTATCACTTATTTATTTACTCTGCTGAGGATGGAAGAGGGCATTGGATACTCTGGGCCTGGAGTTAAAGGCAGCTGTGAACCACTAGACATGGGTGTTGGGAACCGAACCAGGGTCTTCTGCAAGAGCAGCCAGTGCTCTGAGTCGTCTCCTTAGAGCAGTGGTTCTCAACCTTCCTAATGTTGTGATCCCAACCATAAAATTATTTTTGTTGCTACTTCATAACTGTAATGTTGAGATTGTCACGAATCATAATGTGAGTATCTGTGTTTTTGGATGGTCTTAGGCGACCCATGAAAGGGTCATTTGGGCCACAAAGGGGTTGTGACCCACAGGTTGAAAAACATTGCTTTAGACCCTGCCTTCTCATTTCTTAAAAAACAAAAGTACCAGTCACATATAACTACGTTGTTGATTTTTTAAAGTATCTCATATATATTATTCCTGGGCATGGCAGACGTAGGAACTCAAATATTCCCAGAGAGATCACAGCTCTTTCTGAGACCCCTATGCTTTAGTGATTAATCCTTTGTTATCTATACCTCCTCTTCATTAGCTTGACTGACTGAGAGATAACTTATATTTACATTCCCGTATATACCATGAAGTCAGCTCAGTAACCCAAGGTTGTCAATCTCCTGGGGCTCTTCAAGGCCTTGGTTAAGTCCCAGACTGGATCTACTATGTAACATTCCTTCCTAAATCCCGGATCATCATACCTCCACCCCTTGGCATGTGTGTATGCATGGACTATAGTTTAGTCTTCAGATTATTTTAGATTAAAAGAACTGATGGAGAAAAAAGAGCCTGAAAGAGTTGTAGAAAGCCTTTCAAAGCCTAAGAAACTTAAAGCATCGATGAGCAAAGCCCTCCGTGGAGCATAGTGTTAACTATGCCTTGAAAAGTCTGACATTTGATCTACTTTACATTTGACAGGCACTGTCACTCTTATGCCAGCTTATGATAGGTGCAGGTCATCTCACAGGCCTCACCACTCTCTGTGTCCTGGGTTTTATGACCGGGGTAGCCATGAAGTTAAGCCACTTGCAAGAATGGAAAGATCTGGAAGACACAGGTGACTGACACAGCCAACTCAAAGAATCAGGGGTGGGGGGCATCTTCAACCACAGTCTCGGGACAGGGCTGTGCTTTCACAGGAGGCTAGGGAGCAGCATTTTAAGGGTCTGATAGATGGGTTTCGGTGTCTGTTTCGCACAGGGTGGGCAACTCGCTTTGAACAGTCTACATACACTGGTCTGCGCATGGCCCTCTATGTCATCCACAGTGGAGGAGTG